GAATTAAGTCACTTAATCATGTAGACAAAATGCATGGACTAATGACATACACTGCTTATACATGAATAGGTCACGTGACCACACACTGAACATACATTAGCATAACAAGAACATTGAAATGTTGAACAAATAAGTTTGCCAACCTAAAAATGCATTCATTAAAAAAAACATGGAATAATAATTACCAAAAGAACCAAAAAAAACGCAAATATATTTTTTTTAATTGAGTACAAGAGTTCAAATTTCATAGCAATTTTGTTTAAAACAAGTTAACGTCATACGCAAGTTGCCAATCGAGCTAAAAAGCGTTTGGAAAACAATAAAGTAACCAAACATAATTTCAAAATGTGACACTTTTTAAAATTTTTAAATTGATTCAAGACGGACAGAGCCAAAGCAACAAGATTGTCGCATTTGCTCTATAAAAATTCGCATCTCTAATAGAAAGCATATACAAACAAAAAATTTCAAGCACTAGACGCTAGATCAAATGTGACGATAGACTTGTTTCTATAAGCACATTTCATAAGTTTCTAATTGAAGCAGGGATCTGCGCTAGCGACCAACACTCAGAATTTACGACCAGGAGAAAAAGTTGCTGACCTGCACTATTCTATTTGTTTATGATACACACAGGATGTCGGCCACTAGCCATCATTCTATTGTCCTTGTTGCTTTTAACAGTACACACAATGACAAAATTAACACAGAACAAAACATTAATGAAACAAGACACCTCTGTTCAAAATCAACATACAGTGTGACATTGGAATAGGTCATACATCAAGATAATAGAAATGAAGACATTGATAAATAACCAGAAGGAAGGTTTAACGATTGCGGTGGTCATAACAATGAACAACATGCTTTGAAAAAAAATTTCTCAAAATACGTATTTTAGATTGTATTTAAATTGTATCTATTTTTTCATTTTTATCAAAGCAGATTAATTTTACATTGAAACATTTTGAATAAAAGTGAAATATATTAAAGTAGGTAAATCGTAACTACTACGATGGCAAAAGAAATATTAATTAGCTTATGAATATTAATGAGATCATTAATATTAATTAGCAACCAGCACTCAAATCAGGCTGGGCAGAACCCTGTAGAAAAAATACAATATTTTAATTTTTTTAGCGAAAAAAAATCCCATCTAAAATTAGGTTATCAAGAGAATGTGTACAAATGCACGGTGGAATCGACTCCTTCTCTACGATCGACAATACAAATTAAAATAAGTGACCAAATTTGCATTTAATTCCGAGTACATACTGTAAAATACTTTATTTTAGCATGCAATTTTTTTTCGCTATTTTCGCTGACAGAATGATTGTTAAAATAAAATCTAGCGAATATACCTTTTTTCCTATATTTTACTCTCAACTTGTCAAAAATCAGTGAAAATAAATTCCCTACAAAAAACACCCAAAAAGTCTTTTCAGCGAATATTAATCCCAGCTGAAATAAAGTATTTTACAGTATACTGTTATTGTCACCACAAACAACTGACTTTGACAACCAGCCACCCCAATCTGCACATGCATGTACTGGCATTTCTAAACAAACATATAATGTCTCTAGGGTAATGTCTGTATTGAACATAATAACCGAAGTCAGCCCAAAACAAGTGACGTAAACAAACCAGCAGTAACTGAGCGACAAGATAATTTGGAAACAAATTGAGCAATCAGTTACCAGATATCTCTGTGATAACAGTAACTGATATTTCACTTTGCATTTTTGTCTTAAAATAGGAATAAAGCCTGATTTACATTAAAAAAAATTCTAAAATTTGTTTTGTACCTTAAATTTTTATAATTAAATTATTCACAATGAAAAGCACATACAAATAATAAATACTACAATGAAAAATTGACAGAACATTGTAACCGCAAAAACCGAAAGCATTTCAAAGAAACGTATAGCGGGTGGTGGTTGGCCGACATCCGGGCAAACAAGCTGACCTGCTTGTAGCACCAGTGACGTCAGATATGCTGAAAGATTAGCATATATGATCACATGTCAGGTCATGTGATGGAACACAAATTTGCATACTACTAGTATGCACATATAGGTTTCGGGGAGCCACAGGGAATCGTGCAGCCTGATCAGGTTTGACGGCAATAGTTGGCTTGCCCTGTGAATAACACGCAATACAGCGACGAACTTAAATAAGGGCAACAGAAATAAAAATATATACAAGTAAATTAGAATCTAATGTATTTCCAAGAAACAAAATTAACGAAAATCAATTAACCAACATAATTTTTTTTAATTCACAGAAAAAAATATTGTTGATATGTAAATTTATTTGAAAGCAACTATATTCGTTAGGCACAAGTTTTATTGTAACTAGTGGTTTAACAAGCGAGTATTTTATTTTAGACTACATGGTACAAAAAATAATTATTAGACATAACTAACAAAATGTAACATAAATTGTATAAACAACAAGGTTATGTAAATTTTGGATAACATGTTATTAAGCAAAAAAAATGTAATTTAATACTGATAAAAATTCATTTGATTAATTTGGAATAAATATGTGTCATTCAAAGAGAATATTTTGGGTGAGCAGTGCTAAAAAATTCCCAAAATTTTGGATGATAAAATACTAAACGATTCACAAGTATTATAGAGACCAATTTTGCTTGCATGAAGTGGTATAGTACGATTAGTTATTTTACCTTGTATATTTTGATGGAACCAAACTACCAAAATAATTCCGTATTTACATTGAAAACACAAACTGCCTAGCCAAATTAATAGCTCTTTGCAGAGAAAATCATAATACAATACTTCCTAAATAACTTAAACTCTACCTCAATGAGGGCCTGTTGTCTCCAAATGATGTGACCTTCACACATAAAGTTGTATTACAAACCAGAAATACATTAATTTTACATTTATATATCTAGAATCGACAACAATGTAAGAGTTATTAAAAATTTGGCACCTGGGTCGAACTAACCAAGCGACATGACAACTCAGCACTAACGAATTGACACGAACACTTGGTAACCAAGCATCATGGCTATGACGAGAGCCACAGATAATTTAGCACTTAACCGAACAATTAGTTCATACCAGATCTCCGAAGCGAGCACTGGTCTTGTGATAACTGGTTTTTCACTATGCATATTTTAAAATGTGAAATGAGAGTAAAGTCTGATGAAACACTATTATGCCACACACATACTAAAATAACAAATTACATTATCGCAAAAAATATGTTTCACTAAAATTAGCCGTTACAGTACGTTATAATTTTTTTAATTAAATTAATCAAGCCGAAAAACTCATCAAATTAAAATTTGGGCAAAAGCGTGCAATAAACAACAATAAATTGACGATACACCAGCATGCTATGTTCAAAAAAATAGAACATTGTAACAGCGAAAAACCCAAAGCATTAACAAGTTAAGGAAACGTATAGCGGGTGGTGGTTGGCCGACATCCGGGCAAACAAGCTGACCTGCTTGTAGCACCAGTGACGTCAGACATGCTGAAAGATTAGCATATATGATCACATGTCAGGTCATGTGACGGAACACAAATTTGCATACTACTAGTATGCACATATAGGTTTTGGTGAACCAATAAGGGAGCCTCAAGGAATCATGCATCCTGGTCATGTTCGATGGCATTAGTTGACTCGCCCTGTAAATAACACTCAAAACTCTGACTGACTTCAAAATTGCAGCAGAATTATAAATATTAAATAAAAAATATCTATCGTATTTTGAAAAAAAAAATTATGAGAGATATGAAAATCAATTGACTAACATTGATTTTTTTTAATTTATAAAAACAAAATGTTGACGCTTGAACAAATTTGAAAACAACTATTTACAAGATGCAAAATTTTGTTTCGTTTATCATGTGACTTGAAATAAGCAGTATAAAAAATTATTTAATATCGTTGAATTTACTATAACAAATCATAATAAAATGTATATACGAAAAAATGTTTTGTAGTTTATGGTAAACATGTTATTGAGCAAAAACTTGTGAAATTTTATTTCTTACGAAAATTTATTCACGGAAAAGTAAAAGTATAAATGATTCAAAATATATAGAATTTTTCGGGTGTGCGATGTTTCACGCAGCAAAAATTTTTATTTGGTAATTATTTATAAATTTTAATCTCACAAAATTGTGGACGATAAAACAAAGTTTCACAACTATTCTTATTGAGATCAATTTTTCGCAGGATGTGGTATATACATGTAGTAAGATTAGTTATTTTATCTAGTGTACTCTGATGGAAGAAAATTATCAAAATAATTTAGTTTGTACATTGAAAAACACTAACTGCCTAGTCAAACTTTTCTCTGAGGCTCACTTTGGGAAACCGATAGCACTTTGGAGAGAAAATCACAAAACGGTACTCGTACTTCCTGAATAACCTAGACTGTGCCTCATCGAGGGTCTGCCCTCTCCAAATGATGTGACCCCATACACATACGAAGTCGTATGACAAACCAGAAATTCGTATTATTTCACATGTATACGACGTCAGCCGAATCGGCGACAATGCGAGAGTTATTAAAACATCGACAATTATTAACAATTCGTGGTTGAACTTAGTTGGCAGTCGAATATAACACACGGGTCAGTGCAGGGAAGGCAACACCATGATATACACTAACGGGAAAACTTACTTTTTACCGTGGATCTCTATGTTATTACAAACGATCAATATCCACATCTGGGTGGGAGTTTCAGCGGCTAACTGGCAAGTTATTGAACGTTGAAATCACAGAATCAAGAACAATTACACCCCGTACTAAAGCAAAATCCGACTGCACCCTTTCTGTCGAGCTGTCGAGAAATTTAGTCTGCGTCTGGCCTTCATCATAATGTATGCAAATAAGGACCGCGCCAAATCATGCATGCATGCCGTGGAACTACGCAGCATAGAAAAGCAATATTTTGAAGCATCCACAAGTCACAAATTGCAACAGTTTTTCAAGGTATATCTGTAGAACTCTTACCTCTTCCGAAGTGTTATCTGCTACATTATCAGAAGACGTATTATCTGACTGTGGTCGTACATTTTCACTGTCCGTCGAGAGCTCCGCACTCACTTCCGCCATCTTGTCGCTGTTCTATTTACGGGCACTAAAGGATTGTGGGTAGAATGGGTTGCAGGGAGGGAACACATCAGTGACCCAAGGCAATGAAATAAGCATTGCCAAAATATGAAATTTCAAAAGTTTCTAGTTAGTTGTGTTAGAGAGTAAAATGAAGATAAAAGTATACAACATTTAAATAAATGTTATTAAAAAGACACCAGTGGTTATTTTGACAGCCATCGCTTCGGCAGACGACACTTTAATATAAGCTGTATATATTTTTCTGCAAATTAATTTTTTGCAAAAGATTACTCGTAAAATGCTTATTTTAATATTTATATATACCAAGATATATCAAGTTTTATACTTGATACCTAAAATATTTGAATCGTCTATGGCGGTTTATTTACCGATTCCAAAATAGCCCCAAAAAAATGCTCAAACGAAATGTTACAAAACCAGACATATAATAATAATCATTTCCGAACATGCAGTCACATTAAAAAAAAATCATTCATAATCAATAAATTTTCTTACAGTGGATGGCAGAAACCTGAAAACATTATAAATATGTTTTATAAATATAAATTTTTATCAATCAAAATGGATTTTAGAATTGACCAATCGAGAAATCATATTTTGACAATATCGCAAATTCTAATTAATAATAACAAGTTAGTTGAACTTCATTCAATTAGTAAGTGCTTCATTTTAAATGGAATTCTATGTTAAGCGAAGGCATGCATTTGGTTCATGGGCATATACTATAGAGGGGGGCAAGGGGGGTAGCTGGTACAGTTTTACAGGAAATAAAAAGGGCTTTTTACAATTTGCAAGGAAAAAAAGACGTCTTTACAGTTTACAGTGAATTGTGTCATCTAGTCGTTTTACATTTTCGAAAATGTAATTTCCCTGGATTATTCTTTACGACTTTTTTTATTTGGATGTAAATTCTTGTACGTACCAAGAAAAATTACACATTTTTACAGTGTACGAAAAAAATATTTGATTAATTACGCTGTACGTCTACACTGTGATTACAGAATTATGGAATTTATTTTTTCAATTTACGTTGTACGAACCAAAAAATGTTGACCGAAAATAACCCCCCCCCCCCACTATAATGTTGGGCGTTTGAGGCAATCATTATTTACAATTTTTCATAAATATGTTTGCAAACTAAGATACAGTATTCAGCCATTCACTGTACCTCTGGCAATTAATGTTTTACAATGCTGGTAAATATAATCACTTTTTAATATAATGACATTCTGAGTAAAAATGTACTACAGAAAGTAAATATCTGCAAACGAATAATGCCCTCCCAGAATTTTGAGGAACATTTGTATATTTATTAACAAATCATTTGAATATATATTTGCAAAGACAAAGATAACGCAAAGGAAATTGTCTCCAAATATTGTATACCAACTAATTTGTATTGGGATTTCTTGAAATGTAGGTTTGTCTTGCGATTTTATGAACATCTTGCAATTCGTGCGACTATTTCAATTTATCTTCATCACATATCACTTCCTTCCATAGCCTCATTTTATAAATCTTTAGTTATATTCGATATTTTAATAAATATTCATTCAACCAACATTAAAATGAAATTAATATTTAAAAAAAAACACAATGCATATTCATGTATTATATGAGAGGGTCCAAGGTTGAAATTCAGTAAATCTGTATGTTTAAGAAATACATTTATGATTAAAAACTTTTTTTTTTACTTTTTGAAGAATACAAATCATGCTAATATGAAAATGAACTTTTCAATTTTCAGTGAAGCGTATTCAAAAACGGGTCAAGAACTAATTTTTAAGTCTTTATTCACATAACTATAAGTGATTTACATAATTAATGAGGGCTGCATCTATACGAGGATTGTCTCTACATGCAATACTGCACATAACTTTTGATGAGACATTGAAAACATTTCTGTATATTGAAATTCTGGTACAAAGATCGACGTTGATTATGCAAATATTTGTTTATTTTTGGGCATTCAACAAGAAATTCCATTTGAAAAAGTTTCAACACCGCTTTTTGATTGTATTTATTTTGGTGTGTCTCCTCAAAACCGTGTCTGCATTTTTTGATAATTTATCCAGTTTTTATCTTTAGGTACATTTTTTAAATAACGCCAGTAAGTACAAAGTCAGATAAAATGTGTTCAATTTATTATTTAATAATTTTGAGATAAAATATTGTTTTTTTTAACCCCAAATCAAGACAATTTCATGAATCATAAATAACAGCATTATTTGATAACCTGTCATATCCAGCTGACTGAATATGACACGTCTTAAATGACATCTGTATAACTCATTTAAATAGTGTGATTGAAAAGGTGTTCATCTCATTCTCAATAAATTTTATACATTTGAATTTACCAGTATTTATGTGATCGTTATTTTCGGGGGATGGAGGGGGGGGTGGACAGACATCCAAGCAAACACTCACAAAACTGTACTTAGGGCTAGCTGTTGGGACGTATATAAATTTGGTTGCTCAGAAGTACCTAAAGTTGAGTTTGTGCTGTTTTCTCGACTTTTCTTGCCGTTTTCACCAACTCTTCGACCGGCATTCTACAGCGCCTCGCACAGAGCCCATAGAAATACACAGTAAAATGGTGCATGGCATAGAACATTCTGTGACATAGCTTTGCCCTCAAGAATACAGTTAATAAGTTCAATGTGTTCAACAGTCTTTAATTATGCTGCGCCAGTGTTCGATAATGGTCTCATACTAGATGTATGTAATATGTTAAATATTTGTTACACAGAATGAAATCAAATCACAGGAACAGGTGCATCAATTACAATCAATAACTGGGCAATGGTTGATTAAACAACTAATCAGTATCCATGTTATGTTAACTTTGAATGAAATTGTGATAGCAAATATGAAAACAGTCAGGTTTATGTGTGAGAAAAGAAGAAGACAATTCAACATGAAATAACAAAATTTTATTACATGTAAAGTTGACACATGTCAGTCATTATTGCTTGACGTAATTAAAAATCGAATAAATCAAAACTCAGAAATATGAAATATAACAGCACTGACACAAAATGTAACCAATCAAAATAATTCGGGATGCGGACGCACACTATTTAAGCGGGTGTGAAATGTCTGTCACACGTCATCTGCGCATATAACAGGAGGAGTCGAAAAAAAGGTACCAGTACCAACAACAAACACCAGTCATGTTTGCATGAATATACAGGCACAGCAATAAATTGATGCAAGCACATACATGTAGTTTTATTTTTAAAATTTTCATTGAATTTTTTTTTTAATTATGAAAATTGATTTTTCCTTGAGCTGTGATAAAATTGTTGATGATGTACATGATGGTTAACCCGAAACATGACTGTTTTTTTTTTTGTTCCTAGCAAATGGTTCCTGAATACCTTTTTTCGATGCCTATTGTATGATAAATAACACAGCACCACTGCAGTTCAAAAGACGCATAAATGCTGAGCTTTTTGTCACAGATGTTTCAGCACCAGCTATTTTCAGGTGGGCGTTTCAGCCACAAGTGTTTTTTTTATTCGTATTAGTGTAGTAAATTTCTGCCATGAAAGTCTTTTTTTTTATGTTACATAAAGTATATTTATATTTATTTACGTATATATCACAAATTTCATTTTTCAGGTGAAATGTTTTGACCGAAATGTCTACCAAGAAAAAGACACACTGTCACTTTCACAAAAACAGAATGTGTCCTCGCAAACACAATTAAATCATCAAATCAAAAATTCAGTAGCATATGTTAAATTTGCTCGACATACAAGTCAAATTGGACTGAACTTCACGCATATTCTTCCTCTATGATACAATTATTTTAATTCAAGCTAAACAGTTGCAAGTATCAGTTTGTAGTCGATTATTTTTTGAAAAAGATTATGAAACAGATGAAACTAAAGAAAGATTCAGCAACTAACTAACCAGCAACTAACCAATTATAGAGACACCATAGTGCATGTGAAAAATAAACCATTGCGAATTAAGTAACATAGCTAGGTAAGCCCATTTCCATGATCTCCTTAAGTTAGCGTAAATTTAGCCATAAATAGTAATTACTCATTACATTTTCCAGTCCCAGGGAATACACATTTCCCCATCTTCTGAAACTGAATAGAATTTTGATATTTTGAGTTTGAGTCCTTGTAAGCTGATGCCCGCCTCGTAGGGATGGTCAAGAAGTCTCTGACAACACATCATCATTTCTTCGGGAGTCACTGCATTGTCTTTTGTCAGTGAATCAAGTTCAAGATCATTCTGACAATGCCTCATTATATCTTCCATTAATTTACTATACCTGCAAATAAAAAAAATATTTTCTTAATTCATTTTATTTATTTTTGTTTATTATTACAGTTCTACAGCTGTTCCAGGAGCCGGAAATGCAATATCAGATACAAGTCAATAAAATTACAAACAACAAGTCATGCATAGTTGGAACCTAAACATGTCAGAAGTATGGATTCAGAAGCTGATGCTTGATTATGATTTTTTAACATTAAAATGACTGACATTCAGTCATCTTGTATCTAATCGTCGAATGAGTACTTGTCCATATTGGGAGATATTGCTCCGGAAGAGCATCAATTAAAACAAAATGGCCACGGTCTGCCATTTTGAATTGAATAGTTAATTAAACCAATATATCTGTATATCTATGACATGATGTATAATGAATATATAAAATTTGAACATAATCAGTTAAAGCATGTTGGAACCGCATTCACTAAAACAAAATGGCCGCCCGTCAACCATTTTGAATCCAATCTGAAAAAAAATTAAGTGCATCAGGAACCCATAATGTCTAATGATGTATAATCACTCAAAGCATGTCAGAGATATGGCACTAGAACCGCATTCACTAAAACAAAATGGCCGCTAGCCTGCCATTTTGAATCTGATCTGAAAAACAAAATTATTTGCATCAAGGTGCTATAAAGTCCAATGTATGTACCAAGTTTGAACAAAATCCATCTGTAAACAGCCGAGATCCGGTTTCCTGAATGCCAGAAAAAATTTGATGATTTTTCAGCACAAAAATGGCCACCAATCAACCATCTTGAATCAGATTGTGAAACAAACTGATGTGCATACGTATCATATTATGCATGATGTATGTGTGAAGTTTGATTTAATCAGTCCAGGCATGTCTAAGATACAGGTCCAGACAACACACGCATGCACGCACGTACGTACGTACGTACGTACGGATGCACGCACAGAGGTTAATCATCCATATAAGTTCCAGTTTTCGAACTGCGACCGAACAAGCCAGGCACAGTTCCTGTGTAAATGCATTTATTATTCACTGGGTTTTAATTTTCGCTGATACATGTGAAATAAAAATAAAATTATTTCCTTTGCAAATTTGTGAAATTAAAACACAGGAAATAAGCTCAAAACATCAAAATAGTGAAATTAAATGTCAGTGAAAATCAATGGGTCCACAGTATTTCAGACCTTCAGTGAGTTCGAAAATGATATTACACATGTGTGATATCTGGTTCCAGATTGTAGTGCATTTTAAAAACCCTAGTGCCACCAGCAGGTTGTTAATTGGATGATAAACTTGACTGCGACATGACTGAGATTCTTACCTGAGATATTCCTGTTTTCGATACTTAGTTTCGTCTTGTTTATCAAGTATATACTCCAGCAACAAGACAGGTGGGTAGGTAGCTGGTACAAGAAACTGACCGGTTGATAGAAGTCTTACATCACCTGCATCACTAAGATAAATCATACATACGTTATGAGAGAAGACAAAACATTGCAGTGGCTGTATCAGCTGATATGTATTGCACAGATAAATAAATGTGGTATCAGTGCAGTATACTAAATAAAGGACGACTCACTGGCCATTATTACATGTATTAGAGGTTTTTATGACATCATTGTACATTATCACACTATTATTTCACAAGTAAATTTATTTTTAAGAAAAATCCCCAAATTTAACTAAATTTGTTCAATTGTGATGGTGGTGATTTATAACAATAATAATGAACCCTTGCAGCGTTATTCGATTCAGGGAAGGGTTGAGATGCGATAATGTGTTTGGCTTTGTCTGACATATTATCTTGCCATAGACGCTTCCCATCATCCAATATGGCGCTGTGGAGGTTCATTACTGTTTAATTAACAGGGCAGGGATGGTGATGTGCACAATTTAAGCAAACAACCCGTCCAAGCCCTGTTATCATGCTATAATAGGCAGTGTGGAGTCCATTATTTCAATTATATTACCCCAAAATGTTGAAAGATTGAATATACGTGATGCAGAAGCAGAAGCAGGCCATTCACGAGCATATGACATGCAAAAACCATGAAATGGAATAACCAGGATTTTTTTAAACACAAATGAATCATGGAGGTTTTGTTTTTTAAATGGTCCATACAATTATTGTACTGGATATGGCAAACTCAGTCTTGTTTGTATGTTCATGCAATGACCACAAGCACTGCCCAGTTATTGTCTGATAACAGGGCTACATGTGGTACCGATCCACCAATGAGAACCTGGCATTTCAATAATGGGCAGTGTTCGATATTATAATTTGTACATTGTAATAATGATCGTAAACGTCGTAGTTGTGGTCAGCATGTTGTAAATGCATGAAGCCATGTATGTTATGATATTGACCAAAACAGTAAAATTTTAAAGATTCAGAAAGCAGTTGATTTGTCCACCGTCCCTCAACACCGGTTGAGGGATGGTGACTTGTCATATGCACAGCACTGAGTTACGGTTAAGTCACATAAATGCAAAAAGTCTATTATATTGTAAGTATTGTCATTTGCCTATGAACAATTTAATACAAGTGAAAGAATAACGTAAAGATGTCAATTTTCATTGAAGAACCAACCAAATTCCCGTAAGGTTACTTTCTGTGGTTAATGTGATGGGTTTAAATCCCTGCCCTTTATCTCATTATCCAGACATTGCCCCTAGACTACTAGTAATGTTGCAGTCCTAACTAAGGTACAAGGTCTGGTCTATACAAAAACAGTGTAGGTTTTCAAAATATGTGAGATTTGCAATAGCGTTTGACAAAATATGCGAGTTGATGCAATGCGGTTTACAAGTTATGTGAGCATTACTACAGCGAATCACAATCTGCATATGTATACAACCATAGCAGTTTACAATCTGCATATGAATATAACTGTAGCAGTTTACAATCTGCATATCAATACAACTGTCGCAGTTTACAATCTGCATGTGAACACAACCATAGAAGTTTACAATCTGCATACAAATACAACTGTAGCAGTTTACAATCTGCATATGAATATAACTGTAGCAGTTTACAATCTGCATATCAATACAACTGTCGCAGTTTACAATCTGCATGTGAACACAACCATAGAAGTTTACAATCTGCATACAAATACAACTGTAGCAGTTTACAATCTGCATTATGAATACAACTGTAGCACTTTACAATCTGCATATGAATACAACTGTAGCATTTTACAATCTGCATATGAATACAACTGTAGCACTTTACAATCTGCATATGAATACAACTGTAGCACTTTACAATCTGCATATGAATACAACTGTAGCAGTTTACAATCTGCATATGAATACAACTGTAGCAGTTTACAATCTGCATATGAATACAACCATAGTAGTTTACAATCTGCATATGAATACAACCATAGTAGTTTACAATCTGCATATGAATACAACCATAGTGGTTTACAATCTGCATATGAATACAACCATAGTAGTTTACAATCTGCATATGAATACAACTGTAGCAGTTTACAATCTGCATATGAATACAACCATAGTAGTTTACAATCTGCATATGAATACAACTGTAGCAGTTTACAATCTGCATACGAACCAGTTTCATGATACATGACATACTTACTTTTCCACAAGTATTTCACAGTCTCGCAAAGCTCCTTGCTTTGGTCGGTCAGGTCCTTCACTCACATCACCATAATATGACCCGCTGTACTCCGAAATATACATGTGGTTTTTCATCCGATAATAATTAACAACAGAACGTAACATTCGAGACAACAGATTATGATATGCCTCTGCCAGCAATATGCGTATATTCTCGCGTCGAATTATCTGAATGTCTCCAAGTTGTGTGGAGAGCGCCCTCTCTAGTACAGGAAGTTCATCTAACACTGCTTCATATTTGTCCACTGATCCAAGTAACTACACCAGGGGAAAGACATAGATAAAATGTTGCTATAGTTATTATTTTTTATATAAACTAGCATCCATAGTAAACCAATGCGATGGAGTATGCCTGCATTGGTACATAGACCTTAAAATGTATTTTAAGGTCTATTATTGGTCGAACTATTTTGAAAGTGATTCAGTGGACCTATTGATACCTCCAAATGCTTAAAGCAAGAAGGTTGTTACCTGCGCACACGCAGAAATTGAGTTCCAAACGATGATAACAACACATGCTAAAAATGCAAAGGCTCAAGGGTAGAAACTTGTTTGTAAACAATGACACGCTACGGCCATCTGACGTATGCGCAGGTGACGACTCCCCCCGCTTTAGAACTCAATCACAAACAAATCAAAATTCTCATTTGCGAAAAACAGATAATACTTTTCGACAATTCGGAGGATATCGCAAAGCATGATCATGTATCACCCAACACATAGCAAAGGTCAATGCGGCCATGTACTGCATACTTTGTACATCTTTTCAATAAAACCACTAGAACTGAGCAGGATGGAAAAATTATGGAAACTTGTTATGAATTTTGTTTTCAAACATGTCTGCTACCTCAGAAATATTGTGTAATTATTGCATATTTGGAATTTACATTTCCTAAAAAAGATAGGAAGCCGGTACCCTGTACAATATTGAAAAATTATGGCACACAATAATTCATGAAGATACGTTGACAGACAATGTTAAAGGCTAAAACACAATATAAATCTGATAATACAACTTTAATTACAAGAATGATTAATGAAAATTAAGTTTCATAATCTGTGAGAAAGTGTCAGAAAATAATTATGAAACTTTATGTCCAGTGAGGTTGAGATTCCGAAAATATGTCTTGTTTTTTTATTCACTTTATTAAGCTACCAGGGTCTGCTCTATTCACTTACCATAAGCCAATGATGTGGGACATCCATGTTGCTTAACACAATACTACCATTTCTGTCAATACCTGTATTGCTACTGAATACGACAGAGCGACCTGAAATTTGATAAATATCGCACCAATATTCCATAACTATAGTGCTCTAGATATGCATGTTCTCAGTACATCTCCCAGAAACCATAAAATATGTGAGAGAATAAGATATTTTCAAAAAAACAAAATGGCTGCCACTTGGCCATTTTTGCTCTGAACATGAATTACAATGTAAATATGTTCTCTCCAACATTGTCTTGCTGTTACTAATTTCGTGAATAAAACGTCAAGGAAACAATGACATACATACACCTTTGAACATAGGGAAACATAAAGGCAGACGATTGAACAACCTGATATTGATCAAACATTTTTGTAAACACATACTTATGATAACCACAATGCATCACTGTGTAAATATCAGAGTTACACCTTCATGTATGATCAAGTTTAGTGAGCACTGAATCTAATCATTGAAGTCCTCTTTCCAGCCTTAACCTTTTCACTACCCGTGTCCTCTTTCCACAAAATAGACCCGTTTATAGTCTGCACATTTCTTCAGAAGATTGAGACAAAAATAGCCAAATGTTTTGAGTAAAAACTGGAAATTGACTCAAATTTTGTCTGTTGGCTCCAAAATTAGAGTTCATTTCCAGAAACATTGAAGAATATAATAGAAAAAGTGCAAAAAAAAAATATGGGCGGGAAAGTCTAAGTGTTAAATTAGAATACTTACCTCTCAGGACATTCAATTCTGCTGCATGTTGTTCAGTTAATCTACACAAACTGTTGAGACACGCCCTGTATGCTGATAACCCCCATCCACTGTGCCAACTTATATTTCGTATTCCATATTGCTTACATAGAAATTCACGAACTTCTTTGATCTCTCTTTCAAGGGGTTTATTATCTTCTAATTTCTGACGTGCTTTGCTTATATTCGTCTGCATCCAGTATCTAGAAATGGACACTACACTAGTCAGTCGTGCTGGTTATACCCAATATACACACACACAACAATGGCAAGGATTTCAGTCAGCTGTTTTCTGTAAAAGTGATTAAGCCTTTCTCTGTCATAAATGTCCTGTCTCAACTTTATAACTTTTTTGAGCAAAAAAAGACATTGCCCAAATCTTTTTCTTTCTTTTTAATCCTAGTCATTGACAGCAGATGATGACAGATTCTTGATATGCTAGCTTTGTCTTAAAAAGTTAAAGGGGAGTGGTCATTGTGTGCTCGATATGGACCCATCGCATGTAAAACGCATTGTTTGTGTACACAAAATTCAGATACACGCTTCACAATCTTTAACACTGATGTCATTTCATTGATCATCAATTAATTCTCAATGTATAACAATGTAACAGTATTCAGTAAAGAAGTAAAAACTAACTCACTGAATAACAAGTCATTGAAAATGACAGTCGCCATTAAATTTTTGAAAGTTCTCTTTGTGCTCGTCATATTAAAGCGGAGGGGTTGTTGTGAGCGTGTCCTTGAAACTTGAGTTCCAAGTGGTGTATACAACAAATTGTTTATTTACATCAAAACACGTATTCCGTGTAGTAGTAATATGGCCAAAAATAAAAACAGCCGTTATTCGGCCATCTTTGATCTGATTATGAAACACACTGATATGTATGATGTATGTGCCAAATACGAATGAAAATGGTACATAAATTGTGGAAATATAGTAGTAAGGCCAAAAAGTCAGATGGCTGTCAATCGGCCATCCTTGACCAGATTTTGAAACAAATTGTCATGGACATGCATCCTAATATGTATAAAGTACATGTATGTGCCAAATTTGAATGAAAACTGACAGAGCACATCCAGGATACCGATCCAATTGCTAAATAAATCGTCATGGACATGTATCCTAACATGTAAAATCTATGTACCAAGTTTGAATGACAACTGACAAAGCATGTCCAAAATACAAAAAAAACACAAGATGGCTGCCAGTCGGCCATTTTGAATCGAATCGCTAAACCACTGCTTGTGCTTATGTCCCACATAAGGTACTAGGCACATGCAAAGAATGAACGGAATCAGTCCACAGGATTCTGAAATATGACTCTGGACAGACTGACGCACGGATGGACGAACACACGAACGGATGGACGGACAGACTCAAGAACTCACGGACGATCGGGGACATGTATCCTAACATGTATGATCTATGTACTAAATTTGAATGAAAACTGACCAAGCCAGTCGGCCATTTTGAATCGAATCTCCAAACCACTGCATATGCATATGTCCCACATAAAGTACTAGGCACATGCAAAGAATGAACGGACGGACGCACAGACGGACAAAGGCCGAATTATAAGTCCTGGTTTTCAGACTTCGTCCAAACAGGGACTAAAAAAAAAAATTTTTATACCTTAAAGTCTGAGGTTTAGGTTTTGCTTGTTGATAAATCCTGTCACTGGAGGGTGCCGTTTTGCCGGTATATGTATAGTACGTAGGATCCCATCTTATCGGCCTCGGAAATGATCCACCCCTTCTCTTGACGGGTATCGACTCTAGCCGATCCGTTGAAATCATACATGACTTTAGGATATGTTTGACGGTTGAACGCACATTGTGAGATTTCACAGTAAATGTGACTGGGTGTAAATGGTTGATGGCTAAGAGGAGAAAACAAAAAACAGTATACTATCCTAGTAGTTATGATTAGCACATTGCATAGAAACTGTTCATAACAGTTTCCTGTTGAAGGGGCCTTTCAGGTGAACAAAAAAAAAAAAAGTCTCTCATTTTTACTGCATTCTCAGAGATGGACTGGAACAGGAAGTCAGTAGAAGACAAGAAATTTGTGTGTTATTTTGGGGGAGAGTTGGTTCATGTGGGAGAAAACAGAGGTGTTAAAAATTCATTGTCTATTTTTGTTTGTGATTGGCCCTGGCAATGTTTGGGGGATCGTTACGTAGCTCCATTTTTGAGAATAAGAAACTGTTTAAAGGTGAGAAACACTTTTTATTTTCAACTGAAATCAGTGTGTTCAATTATGATGTTGTCTGTTTAGCCTTGGGCTGGTAGCTAATTTTCAAAATTTCCGAGATACTACTAATAAAATTATAATAACATTGATTTGCCATGAAAAAAATTTCTCACATAAAACTGTGAGGGCGCCAGACTTATTAAAAGAGTCTATCAAAAGTGAACCACACTGTGAGTGAACTAAGTTTTGGAATCTAATGATAATGAGTCAGTGACGTTGACAATCTCAAAATTTCAAATCAAAGTGCAGATAAAATGTGTAATATTGAAAAAATGGAATTCACATGTGTTACAATATAACATACCCGCTGTATGTAAGGATTCCTTGGCAGTGTTGTGTCTAAGATAAAAGGTCAGAGTCAGCGGTTCAGGATATGTTTCTCCCTGAAGAGAGTCTAGATATGAATTCAGCTGTTTCAAGGATGTTTCATTCACATTCTGTAAAATAGAAACTTTCTATTTGTCAATGTTGTGTTCACACAAAATACAAAAACCATTTGATATTCTTTGCCAGTTACTACCGGTATCAGATTAGTGTTTTCCTGGATGAGAATGCTAGAAAATGAACTAACACACTACATACAATTAAATGGTCACACGTAAATGCTGCATGATCCATAAAACCAACAAATAGTATAGCATCATTGAATTTCCTTTGAATTCCATGATTGCTATATCAGAGGAGCAGCAACCATTTCAACATACGGTAATAACCACTATGCTTGGATTTGTTGGAAACAAGAGAATAAATTAACATCTCCGAGAGAAGAGAACATTGACTGATATGATGCTATGATAACAGTAAACAAGCAGCCTGTCGGCTGAGATAGATCCGCTGTTAGCAATGCACATTTCAATTAAAGAACAGAAGATATCATTAGAAAAAGAAGAATATGTATAGTATCAAAGCAATCAGACTTGCTGTTTTCAACAAAAATTTGAAAATATCATTTTCCCCCAAAAAATATTCATTAAAATTAGATATTTGAAGATATTATCACGAAATGAACAAATCTGAGAGGTCCACATGTAGTATCTATATATGTAATATCAAAGCAATCAGACTTGAGGTTTTTAACAAGAAGTCGAATATATCACTTTCCACCAAATGTTACAAAAATATTCACCAAAATTAGCGAATTGAAGATATCATCACAAAATCTGACAAACATCAAGTCTGAGAGAAGTCTACCCAAGGTATACCAAGTATCAAAGCATTCAGGCTTGTAGTTTTCAAGAAGAAATCGAAAAAGTAAAAAGTTGACATGGACGATGACGGACAATCACTCATATGATCAGCTCCGCTCGACAAAGTCAACAGCAGAGCTAATAATGAGAACACTAGCCACCACGACCGACAAACAACAACTTTCTGTTGGGCTTACTCATCAATTATAAGGAGGAATATGAAATAAGCTATGAAAACTACACATCAAATAAAAGATGTCACAATTTTACATCCTGCATTTAAGGCTCAGAAAACAAAAAGTTTTTGGTCAATTTGTATTCCACATGAAAATTTAATTTCCGACAAAAAAACAAAAACAAAGCTGTGAAAAAGACATTCTTAACTGATATGCATAACAATCTGAAAGACAACTATTTTTTGCTAGGCCTAATTTGATTTCAATCAATTTCAATCAAAAAATCACATTTTGTGATTATTTCAAATTTATCATGGTACAGATCACTGTGGTGCTGTCATACATTGTATATGATTTTCTTCTAAGATTATCCAACTTACTCTCTCCTTGGGGTATTGTCCAAACAAATCAGGATGCACAGCAAAATAAAAAGGCCTCAGAATAGTGGACGCCTCCGATGTAGTCAGATTTCTTGTTGAAATTTGATTCAGAATAAAAATTTTATTGCACACAAATCTGTTGAGAAAAAATAATATAATTATTTTATTATTATTATTATTATTATTAATACATTAAATATGAAGTGTACTGTAAACCATTTTAATTTCGCAACTGACAAATTTTTCGTGAATCTTGTTTCAAACACCAAAACAGCAATATTGCTAGCTGACTTGCTGACTGATTAGCTATGCACATCTATAGAGAATTACATGATCAGATCAAGTTGAATCAAACATGGTTACCGGTACTAGAAGAACCCTGAGACAAATGAACCTCAACAAGAGACAGGGGTTTTTCTAGAAACAAACTTTAAGAGGGAGCACACCTTTGTTACCATTGGTAACACTATATTTGTTATAACTGATCATGATCTACTGACTGTTCCAGGTTCGGTAAGAGAGCACAAACCGGGGGTATGAGGGAGCTGCTCCCTGTCTGGAAGAACCCCCGGGGGATATCATAGCAAAACTCAGACATTTGAATATATAAAATAGAAGATCATTATGCGATTACTATTCAATTTTTAATTATTTTACCAAAAGTATAAATTGCTATATGATAAATTTTTAAGTTATCCAAGCAAAATGTATGGACTGACACAGTTGTCTGAAATGTCAAGACACAATCACTGCTGTGTCTAGTGCGTTAACACGCAGGCATTTAAGCTGAACAACACACCCTCATAAACATGGATTGTCAGTTCTAATCACGTAATGATCTTGAGACACGTGCGTAACAAAACAGTCATCAAATTAGCTGACAATGTTGCTGTTTTGGTGTTTAGAACAATAAGGAAATGACAGAAACATTACCAAAAGTGAACTCACAGTAAAGTATTATTCATTAAAAGTTGATATTCCAATTAAGATAGTTCAAAATGGCATCAAACTTGTCATCATATGCTGATCAACGTCAACATTTAGGATTACCTATGGATTTGGAATGGGGGGCTGGAGGAACATACATTGTATATTCATATTTTATTCAAAAGTCCAGGGTAGTAATTTTTTTCTAATTTTTTTTCATATCATACAACAATATGAAATATGTTTTTCTGACAGTCAGCTGACATATGTGAGGAGTTTAGGGTTCTTTCTACATCGCGTACCAAACATGCCAGTGTTTTTTTCTCTCTTCAGCATTTTATTTTTACAAACATTTTTCAGGAACACCTAAAGTGTCAGATCATGTGAGTTATTAATGATTTACTACAATCATGCACATCAGGTGACCAGGTGCTCCACTACTGTAAATGATATAAACAAACAAACACAATTTGTTGGTATTCAACAGTAAGGCCAGACTTTTACTATCCCTTGTTTCGCGAACCCGTCGAATGAACAGGAGGCGAAAATGAAATGAAAATCAAATTTTATTTCAGCGTAATTTCTCGCGCCCGCCGACTTGTAAGTGCAAAAAATGGCTAAAAATTATTATTTTTATCTTCATTTTTTTCCCGCTCGCCGCATAACAAACCCAAGTTGCATTTTCGTGGGAGTATCATGATCAAAGTATCGAAGTCTTGCGCAGATGAGAAACAAGGTTATTACATGGAATAAAATGTTATTTCATTTCTTCTCTCCGATCAATGATCTCAATTACAATTCTTTGAGAATCACACAAATCTAATGGGAAAAAAGAATTAATTTTATTTATTTTTCGCCCTCCTCAAAAAAATTGCCTTATAAAAACTCAAGAAACAAAGAATAAAAAAGTCTGGTCTAACAAGACAAAACACGGCAACAATAATACTTGCTCGTGCTTGAGCAAAAACGTGAGTTACATGCGTATGTCATGGGAAGTACGCAGGGCTAGTTTATGAAACCAATTACAGCTCCCTGAGACGAACTGGCGTAAATCTTTTTTACGAAACTTACGGCAAATCAAGATTGCTAAACAATACAGTAATATAACGTATTTACAAACAAATCATGCCATAACATAACAGCCATAGAAATATGAAAGTTATGGAAGTTAAATTAAATCACGTCATGGACAAATCTGACAGAGCTCCACGTGAGCTAAGAACGTGATCGTTATCTGTGTCAGCGGGGTCACACGTGAAATTGTTATATGCGTCGGCAGGGTCACCCGTCAAAATATAAAAAAGTGTTTACCTCCTAAACAGTATCGTCATATCCACGAATGTAAGGGACAAAATAAACTGAAAATGAAATCAAACCATTGAAAAGCATCATTTAACAATCCGATTGCGTTGTAATCAACGTAGGCCGTATCCGACTACGGGGAAATGACAATAGCGCAGCAATACTGGAGAACAACTCGTAACCCCATTCTCACGTCGGCCATCTTTGGGATACCCCTGTGACGTCAAGTCACGCTGTGGTGAAGACTGCGACAGCAAATTCCGCGAGATATTACGAGACTGCGGTGACTTAAAAATAATAATAATTACGGAATTTAGAAAAAATAAAATTAAATTTTTCCAATTCTCCCCTTATAATATTTCAATGTTGTCTGTTTTTGTTTTT